AATGGAACGTTAAGATCGAACCTAGGACATGTTAGATATTTGTAGATAGTATTTACAACTTAATACAACAAAAGAGATAATGGTACTGGAAACTAAATTTGAATTGTAATTTCTTTCTTCGTATTAAAAAAATGATTATTTCTGTATACATAGGTTATTGAAAAAATCGAGATTTGTTATTTTAAATTATACATAAATAATGCGACAAACGTGCGTTTTTTTTATTTTCAAGATTAATTATATTTTAAGTACTCTAACAAATTGGCAATAATGCATGAATTTCGATCAAATTACTACAAAAACGGTTCTTAAAGACGTATTTACTGTGGTGGACATTTTGTTATTTATTTAATTTAATATATAAGTTAATATATGGCACAGAAACACACTAAGGACTTCAATACAAGTAGTAAATGATAAACATTATCTAAACTTTAATAAACATTAACATTCTGAAATTACATTTCACCACAGTTGTATTTTGCCAAATTTTAACAGTTGCACAAATTGGTTTCATTGTTAGTTTTTTATTCATTGGAACTACATTTAAAATCCCTTCAATGGTTTAAACGTAAAAAAATAACTTATTTTAAATTATGTAACTACGGTCCAGCGTTTCGGATAGGTGCTTTGCAGCGGTCGCGGTCACGGTGTATTACTGGGATTACAGACAATATTACATATTGCTTTGACTTTATAGATAGATAAATTCGTCTTTAACATAATGGTTATTTGTATTAAATCCAGCATGTACAACAATATTTTTGTAATAGTTGTGTGTCAGACATTTTTAAATAAAATTATTTGGTATTCAATGTAGCAACTGTTTCTCTTAGTCTGTGGGCTCTACGAGACCCACAAGGCGCGCATTTCAATTACCCTTCATCACATGAACGTTGGCGAACTTCTTAACTGTGCAAAGTTTCACGATAACACTTTCAGCACTTAACATGTCGTTATTTATGCAAACCTTTAGCAGCATGTTGAAAGGGTTCAAACCCTCGTAATACAGATTTTTCCCTTACTGAAAAGAAAATACCGCAATATTTTCATTGAAAACGTTGCCTTCTACATGTTGGTACAATTTAAATATGTGATTGATTTTTAATTATAAATTTATTAAATAGATTATTAAGATTAATGTAAGTGAGTACAATGATCATTGGAAATTTCTAGAGCAAGTACCTAGTGGCTGTACATGTCCAGAGTACCTGCGTTTTTCCGACAGTTAAAACTTTGTGAAGGAAAGAGATAACAATACACACACATGAGCGTATATAAAGATTTCAATAGAACGTCATGAATTCATCAACTTAATGTCATTAAATTTGTAAATAAAAAAATATTATATTTAAACAATTGAAAGACACGGGCATGTCTCAAACCCCCACTACATTAAAAACAGCTGTTTATTTAGCTTATTTAGTTTATAAAGCTATACGTACGACAGAACAACATTAAACATTTTATAAAATAAAAATCTATTTAATTTAAAAAGCACGACAAAGACTTGAACCGACACAGCATTCCTTGCTGCTGCTTTAACAAATTAAGCTACCGAATCCTATACACTTTTTCAGTACGTCGCTCTTATCAAAATATATTATTTCATAATAAAACAAAATTAATTACCTACCTTTGGGTACAAGTTGAAATTTTAAAATAGATAATATACCTACACGATGAACTTAACTGAAATGCGCAACTATAATTGTCAGTGAAACTGAAAATACTGTGTAAAAACTCATTTTTGTTTCAAAAACACTTAAAAGAAATAGCTCGAATTACACCCAAATCAAACAACTGACACGAATTGAAAACATCCGAAGAATAAAGGCCTGACCTTTAGGCTATAAGCGGATCCGGGTCAACTAACATAGAGCCTAATTTCTGTCTGTCTATTGATTGAAAATAATATGACTGCAGTGCGCTAGGCAGTTTCTGTAGGCTGTAATTAGATTACATTTGAATCATTGTAGCTTAAAATTCAACAACTAAGATATAACTTTTTTTAATTAGATTTTTATTATTGTTTTACTAAGGTGAAGCTTATATGTTGAAGCCATAGCTCAATGTTTAAACGCGTTATCAAGCATAACGTTAATTACAAGAAGTCCTAGGTTCGAATACTGGTGAAATAATAAATTGTTTTAGTCGGGTAAGACAAAGAAGTTTGTACTAATTGCCTGTAAATAAAACAACTTAGGAAATATGTTCCCCCTTACCACTAAGGGGGAAATGTGATTTCATACCATGTGTGTAAAAGCAACGTATTTTTTTACTTAAATTAAAGTTAATAATTTAAATAGGATGTGACAGACTAAGCATGCATGCTTACCATACATTCATTTGTTTGGAATTGCGAATTGATAAGCCAATTTTAGTCCAGCTTTTATGTTCATGCATTAGGCGGTGGATTAGTGAATCTCAGATAGTCGAAATCTTAAAATGATCCCAAGTGCGCTTTCAATTAGAATCGCCTATTATTCTACATATACATATCAATACGATCAATGAAATATTTCTCTTGTCAACTGCGAGATGTGGGTTTATTAAGTAGTCAAATACTGTCTGTAGTCTCCGTGACCACGGCTGCTGCAAGTTAAAATATATCGCATTTTAAACCGTTAGAGTGTTTTACTCAAATGTGTACTACGCGTAAACTACAGACAGTTTTTTTTTTAAATATTAAGTAGTCAATTTTAACTAGGGTTTTTTTGTGTCTGTCAATATGCGTTCAACGCATTAAAAAATACGCTAAGCTCTATAATCACCATAAAATGCAATGCTATGCTTTAACTTTATATTTAATTAAAAAGCAGTATATTATTTTAACAACGTTTGATGTTACGAGGCAGCTTTTAATGAAATATCATAATCGACTTCTTAGAAAAATTCCAACTGTAACGTTCATTAAAAATTAGTTTCAAAGGAAATGCTACGAACAATATTGCCCTCGTTACTTTTTGACGTTAAAATTTAATTTAGCAAAATAACTTTTAGTCCACGGTGATAAGAATGGTTTTAGCGAACAACACAAAAGGCTTGTTTCGGCGCCGATCCATTGGGTTGCGCGCTTCATTAATTTGAAATTTATCTTACAAGATAACCCTTTGAAAATCTTAGAGATTATTAGATGAAATGGTCTTGTTTGAAACATTGTTGCCGAAGATTATCACCTATGTATATACATATGTTGTTTGTTTAAAGCTTTCTAAATTTTTAAATTGATTGTCGAACTTCGGTTTGTCTGGGTTTAGGAAATGTACACGTGTTGGCTTTGTATGTAAATGTAACGACAGACAAGTATGACCTCCTTTTTTTTCTTTTTTATATAATGCTCTAGCTATATATCTTAAAAAAATTTCGATGTGGACCTTATTTTGGTTTTGAATATTCCGACTAAACTGGTAATCGACAGTAGACCTCGCTCAATCAGCTCACAGTAGATTCGAGCCCGTCTTTGCTATATATGTTTTCAATCTTTAATTATTATTCTAAATTATTATCTTTATCTTACTATCTATTATATGTGGGCATCTCTTTAAAATATCCATTCAAATCTATAACATCACTGCTTCTTTCGATTTTGGCCTTTCAAAACCTATACCGTAGTCTTGAACAATTTCAATATATCATTCAACAGACAGATAGGAACCTTGACGTTTAGATGTAAATAGTCTCAACCTTGACATGATGGAAAGCATTAAAATAAGTGGGTTTCGAAAAATGCATGTTTAGAGTACTGAGATTAACTGATATGTTTGCGTACGTAAATAGAAGTTATTGTGGCATTTTATAGTAGTACAGTGTTTAGTAGAGTAATCAGTAAGTAACTCTAAGGTCTTTAACTCTTTTAAGGTCCTGGCCTTAGATGAACAGAGAATAATGATCAACTATTCGAAATCGAAGTCAAAGATTTTTTTATATACTGTCTATAGTTTACGCGAGTAGTATACATTTAAATAAAACACATTAACGGTATAAAACGCGATGTATATTAGTTATACTTATTTTATTATTGTTTTAACTAAGGATACTTTGCAGCAGCCGTGGTCACGGGGAGGCTGCTGAGCCGTAGTTAAATTTATATCCACATAAGTTTAATATACATCGCGTTTTAAACCGTTAAAGTGTTTTTTTTACTTACATTTATTATGTTACAGTTAAATAGTAAACGGTTAAGCTCATCTGATGTTAAGTGTCACCTACGCCCTTGAACATTTGCGAAACCTGACGCATTGGGAATGCGTTGCTGGCCTTTATTATGTCTGTTTTATGGCAACAGAAGTTTACTTTATACAACATAGCATTTTTCAAATACTTCAAGTTATTATTTTTTTGTATTGTCGTAGTTCAATATTCTTAATCACATTTAATTTTTTTTTATCCGCATGTTCGAGATTCTAGTCAATCAGCAATAGTCATTCTATCTATTTGTACAAGTGGTTATTCTCGGGATCGCAAAAATATTTATTCTCTCTAATCGAAATAAGTATTATCGTAGCTAAGTGCTTTTTCTGTTTCAAGGTTTAGTTATCAACATTCCGGGGAATTGTGCGTTTAAACACTACAATAGTATCTAGACACAATATTATGAATGTGAGAAAATGTATTTCAGTTCGAATACAATATGACAGTGGGATTTAAACCCACTACAACAACGTTTCGTGTTGTTGCTCTACTTATATTAACGTAAAAGCAATACTTAAGTTAAATAAAAATAAAAATATTTTAACACGCTATTCTACATGATAGCTTCAATGATAACTGACAGGGTAGTTCAGTGAATACAAAAAAGGTATAAAACGTTGTGGTCGTTGGTTCCAGGCCCGGCCGTGTCATCCTTTTTTTAAATTTACAACAGATTTTTAATAACAAAAGACAGCGTTGTAGTACGTCGTAAATAGCAAACGCTTAGGTTTCGATGATTGAATGAAAATTAATTAAGGTTTGCATAAATAAATATAGATAAATAGATAAATCATTGTTAGACTTACCTGAGTGTGTGAGTAAAACATTGAGAAATTTGACACGATAACAGGAACGGGTAACGCTATCGTCAGAACTCCAGCCAGTGCACACAATGCGCCCACAAACATTCCTAGGTATGTTTTCGGGGCCATGTCCCCGTAGCCCACCGTTGTCATGGTGACGATCGCCCACCATAACCCGAGCGGGATCGATTTGAACTGGTTTTCAGGATTGTCCTGAAAATAATAGGAAGATATAACTACGATTCGTAAGCTAAACAAAACGAGATATTACTAAGTCCTGTATATATGTACCCGATAAAAGCGGTAAATGAAGGTCAACTTAACAATAAAATGTACCGAGAACTGAAAACTGAAAATCGGCGTTGTGCATACTTCCAGGTACACCAAAAGTCGAGTGGTGTCCCTCCACATGCATCTATTATTATTATTTATGCCTTTTTATTTTTGTGTGTGGATTAAATGATCAGATTTGAGAGAGAAGCCGAAATGACATTGTAATGCGTTACGTAACGTAAGCGGATAGGTACTGTCCCGTAAAAACAATCCTATAAAATAATTTGCGTAAGGCTTTCACGGGCATCGTTCAGCATATCATTGTTTTTCGGGCTGTTCTTCTGCTAATTCTTCAAGTAATCCAGGAGTTAACATCTGTTCTACACGCACCCGCACGTGATGGCGAAACGTCGAGAACCTCTTCTCGCTCACGTCGGCCGAACAGCCCGAAAAGGTTTATTGGATTATCAACAATGATAATCCAATAAAACCTGTTAACGGTATAAAACGCGATTTTAATAGAGTAAATTACTTAATGGCTGATATTGTCAACAGTCGTAGTCACGGTGGCCCGAAACCTAATTACAAAATAAAATAGTGATGTTGAAACTCTTTACATATATATTTGGTTTTGTTCTAATATAGCGACTCAATACTATATAAGCTTATTTTATTAACATATATATATATAAGTTTCTATAATTGGGGAAATTTTATAAAACAGTGTGCCTGTGCCAGCGACTTTGTCCGCTAAGAATATTTATTTTGGGCATCCAAATTTGTTTTTGCAAATCCCTTTATCTTTATAAACTGAAGCTGTTACCGGCGACGTCGGTCGCGACCCTTCCCGTCTTTCTTATAAGTTAATCTTGAAAGACAGACATATAGCGTCGCGGACTTTTTGTTACGTCGTTTAGAGAGGAATTATTTCATACATTTTTTTTTTGGTATCTTGAATTGTTTTTGCAGCGTATGCATCGGTAACCCATAATGATAAAAAAAAATCCCAATTTTTTCAAATTTTCATGTACCTTCGCTCCTATAAGTTACACAAAATTATTTTTTTAATTAGAACCCGTAGTTGCTGAGATTAGCGCGTTCAAACAAACAAACAAACAAACTCTTCAGCTTTATATATTAAGTATAGATTATTTAAATAAAACACTTTAACGGTTTAAAACGCGATATATTAGTTTATTAAAAACTTATTTGAAAATGATTTTTCTTTTTAAGGGGGGGGAACTTCGGCCCGACGTTTCGGATACTTTGCAGCAGCCGTGGTCATGGGGTGACTAAAGATGGAGGATGTCTCTGACGTCAAAGTAAAAATGGCTACGATAGCGCCATCTGTAGCTTAACCGAAACGCCGGGCTGAAGTTAAAAAGGATTTTCAAATAAATTTAACCAATATATACCGCATTTTAAACCGTTAAAGAGTCAGAAAAAAAACACTATATCTTTAAAAAATCATGGGAATAACTCAGACATATAACGTCTAAAAAAAGATGCGCTATCTATCCTATTTTGCCTATAAATATAGGAAAATCCACAAATTAAAACCGTGACGTGATTAAACTTCCCGTCAAGTTTTTCCATAAAGATGGTTCGTGACCCGAACAGAATTTAGATATTCCTAACACTCATTTAATATGCAAATCTCAAGAGGAAGTCAAACATGTTTTAGAAGAAATATAAATTCTTTAGAAACATGTTGGACCTCATGGGGAACCTCGAACCCACGACCCGTTAATTAAAAGACATACATTGATACCATTATATCAACGAGTCAAATACGCCAAGTCTTTTGCAATGTAAAATCCACCTTTAAAATCCATCGATGGAGTTTTATTTCTTGTGACATCAATATTTGTGTACATCAATACCAAGATCATTTATGTTAATATAATTTTCCATATAAATATATAAATATGAAAGGATTCCTTGTGGAAATTATGGTCCTGTTTTTTCCTCGTTCCTTCCTATAATATGTTTATAATCTCTGTCGATCCACAGGTGATTTTATTTAGTGAGTTAGATATAAAAGCTCTACATTCAATATCAAAACACAAACTTACACATCTCGTGACGTGCATAGAAGTGATTTATTAATTTATTTAAGAATACAGACAAGAGACAAGTCACAGTAACATATTATAAGGAAATAAAAACAAAAAATTGAATACGTAGCGTAACGTAACGACGATGGATTTCACTCTACATCTCACATAATATTAAAATAAAAGATTTATAACGGTTTAAAATGCGAAATATTTTAGTTAAGGTTTTTATACACTTTATCTACGACCAGACGTTGCATTAAAAGTATCTTTGTAATGTGTACTATTCGCGTAAGCTACAGATAAGCACACATTACATTACATTGTCTTTTCAAACTTATTTTTGCAAGACCCGACGACTTATTAATATTTATGAATAGATAATATTGCTGATATTTAGAATAACATGCCAGAGACAATATAGATATGTATATAACTGTTATAAAATCAATGACTTTATTCATCCAAGTTTTGGGGATTTGAGTTTAAAATGAAATAGCCTTGAAACAATTGAATATTCAAATAATAAAATGCCGGCCGCGCATGTTTTATGCAAATGTTAAGCGTCATACTAACAACAACAAACGCGCTGTTTTATACCCTATTTCTAAACAATAGGGGCTACAATTGTCTGAGAATTATATATTTAAAGCCACGGATCGTTTAGGATATATTTCGATCTCACTCAGAGGATTTAGTTTCTAAAGTTTTCGGACACACTGTTTTAGACTCTATTTTATACTTAACTATCTCTATACATATATGATTGGTAAGTGAGCGGTTAAAATAAAGCTGAATGAAATGAAGTGACTAAATAGTTATATCTTTATGTAAATGTAGGGGAGACCGACAAGGGACCCCCATCACTTGATGGTAGGAAACGAGGAGCTCGTTTGTGTAATGGTAGCAATGTATGGCTAATAAGAATCAACGGGTCGTTCAATCCCCATTGCGTCCTACATTTTTCTGAACAAATTGTAATTTTTTGAACATGCTGGACTTCTAAGAATCTAGCTAATAAATGGGTGGGAATTCCGTCTAAAGGTGAAAAAGACATTTCGCGTTTCGGTTTCACTCTGTAACCATAATAGGTCGACAACGCACGTTAAATGTAATATGGCTGTGGTATTTCACCACCATAAAGTGAGCTCCATGCTTATCTGTCTTACTCCATCATAAAAAATTATAACGAGGTCACATGACGCTGATGTATAAACGTCTCTAAATTACCTTCAAGAAAAATACGATGACATTTGAGAATGACGTCAGGTGTGACGAATTTGCGTAATAACTTCGTTGGAATAGGGAGAAGACTAAAGAGGCCTAATTAAGGTCTGTCTGAATTAACTTAAGACTTAGACTGTTTTAATTTTTGCTATACAATTATTTAGCTTGAAAAATACAGTGTTGCAATAAAACATAAATATGGACTATTAAATACTGTCTATAGTTTACGCGAGTAGTCCACATTTAAATAAAACACTTTAACGGTTTAAAACGCGATATATTAGTTATCTAATATATCGCGTTATTAGTTAACTTTTAAATTTGGACCATTGTTAATAGAGTAACTAGCTGGGTCAGCGACTTCGTCCGCCTAGAATAGTTATTTTGGGCATCCAAATTTGTTATTTCAAACCTGCTCTTCGTCTTTATACAACTCTTCAGCTTAATATATTAGTATAGAGTGTAGATGATAAGATGCAGAATTTTATTAAAACTGCTATCTTGAGAATAGAATTTGTTATGTCGGTAGTTTAGTTATTTCCTATTTAGTGTTTATTTGTAGATAGCTGTAACTTTTTAACCATAATCTATTTACATATATAGAAAAAAAATTGATGACACGGGCGGAACTTGAACTGGCATTAAATGCGTTTCATGCTACGGCTCAAACAAATTACAATATGAATAGATGTGTAATTTACGCATTGCCCACATGTGACACCTACAAAAAATATTAAAGTTTCCAAATAACCATAACATCCCCGATGTAGCCGGTATAATGTGAGATAAGTTTGACTAAATTCAAAAATGTTTAAGTTTCTTTGTAACTAATTTTCATGGTGCTTGGCTGTTTTTAGAATCCAATGTTCAAATATTTAATAAGGCTTTTGTAATACAACAGTAAATTGCAATAAAATAGTCTACATTTAAACTTACTTGCGATTTCTCAGCATAATACACCAGACTCGCAAAGATCACGATTCCGAGGACCAGAAAAAACACCAACAGCGTCAGTTCTTTCGCTGACGCTTTGAAGGTGTGGACGAGGATCTTCAGCCCTGGACTGTGTCTCGTTAGCTTGAAGAGCCGTAGTATCTTGATAATTGAAATAAACTCTAGGATATCTGATTTGTCTATTGCTCTCCGCACTACCGCCAATTCTACTACTACGTCCATATAGAAACTTAGTGTGGCTATAAAATCTATTATATTCACTGGGGATTTTATAAACTCTATTATGTTCGGTGCCACCTGCAACAAAAAAATATTATTAAAAAGATTATAATATTACGGTTTAAAATGCGATATACGTCAGTTAAACTTATTTTAACATTGAAAACTTAAATATTTTTCACACGTGAAGGCACTATAAAATTTAAAAATCGAAAATAAATTGAACAAATTTTCGACTCGCGCAGGACTTGAACCGGCATCGTCAGCGTCAGAGCAACAGCACGGAACGCTAACGATGCCGGTTCAAGTCCTGCCCGAGTCGAAAATTTTTTCAATTTATTTTCGGGCTTTAAATTATTTTAACATTATTTTTCCTAAGGCCCGCCGTTTCGGATGCTTTGCAATAGCTGTGGTCTAGGTGTCTCTGACGTCAAAGAAAAAATCTGCTACTCTAGCGCCACCTGTTCCGTCGCAGTTGGTATTTGGCGAAACTGACCGCGTCCTTGCAGAATCGACTAACGGTGTCTTAATTTTCAAATAAGATTCACTAATATATATCGCGTTTTAAACCGTTAAAGTATTCTATTTAAATGTATACTACACTCTTACACTACAGACAGCATTTCAGATTATAATAATTTACTAAATTATAAAATATTATTCTTTATAATCAAATCACAGTAAAGATAACGTTCGTAGCAAAATAGTAAATTAATTAAATGCCCGTTAATAAAATCATTCAGTAACAGACAGCCAGACGGACAGTGTCTTTCCTACGACCCACATTTGAAAGAAGTACACAAAATATAATAGAAGATACACTTAGTAATCTTTACATTTTGCATTCTCTAATTTAACGCCAGCAGTACAAAGTAATCTAATTTCAGATAAAATCTTTTACGAAATCAAATCTTGAAAATTCTGGCAATTCGTAATCATTGTCGACAGATGCTTACCAAAGCCCGGAAAGATTTCCAGAATTTCCTAATTATTTATGTAAAAAGTTAGAAATTACAAGGAATCTATACACGTATTCTTTTAAATATAGTTTTTTTCCTTTTTTTATTTTAAAGTGATTTAGTATGGAGTACCTAACTATGAACAAAGAATGTAGTTTAACATATTGAATAACCGAGCACGCTCAACAATGCACGCAAAGAAGCTTTTAATTAAATTAAAAATCTATTTTAAATTGAAAAGAAAATACGACTCGGGCAGGTCTTGAACCGGCTGGCATCGACATCTGCCCGTGCAGTTGCTCTAACTAATGGAGCTACCTAGACCTACATCGTCGAATATGTTCAACTTATTGATACATGCACCTCTTGCGCAATGTAATTTCAACCATCATGTGCAATATCATGTGAAAAATATTTAAGTTTTCAGTTTTAATGAAATCGCCCAAAAAAGTATTTTCTAAGATATTTAAAAAGTTTTTATATAACTCTAAGGCAAAACCTGAAAACTTTTCACTGTCACTTTAAAAATAGACCTATCGATAAAGCAAGACATTGCGATTTATCCAACACTTTTATCACAAAGAATTCTAAAATAAATGGCCATAATAACTCTTATCTTGAATTCAATAATCCGTAACAAATCTTCCTGAAAACGTGTGCGATGTTGCCAACCGGGAACTGTTCCTTTTATATAGTGCAATAGAATCCGAATGCCGTTCTTATGGAGAGCTATGAATTATTTAAATAAAACACTTTAACGGTTTAAAACGCGATATATTAGTTAAACTTTTTTGAAAATGATTTTTAACTTCGGCCCGACGTTTGCTATGAATTATTTTTACTCTAAAACTACGGGATCGATAAGCTAATTGCTAAGTAAATATGGACATAATTAAGCGGGCTAAGAGCGGGACCTCTACCAACGCGTAGACGTGCGTAGTCTGTTGTGGGCTCGATCGAGATCGGGTGCGAGGCGATGTAGCTTATTTTACACAAAAAGTATCGTCTTTTACTTGAAGGAAAAGAGTTACAGTCTTGAAGAAGCAGAAATTACTTCGTAAAGCCGGTGTACTGGTGAATCTGGGCAGAGAGATGTGTTACTAACACAATTCTATTGTTCGTGAGTTTGGTCTAACATTTTTCTAATAAATTTATAATTTTTCTGAAGCACGTTGTACTTCGTCTGGAAATCTGCCCGGGTATATAACCAGCTGTTATTATAATCGAGATATTAAAGTAACAGATGTCTTCGCGATTTCATAGTCGATTTATGCATTTTATTGAATTCCAATTGCTTTGGCGAATATCCAGTGGAAGGCGTTTTTGATTCTTTTGTAAGACTTTTTCGAGTATCGTGACTATTAATAATAAATTATCTTCTAATATCAATTTGCAGTAGTTTTATTAAAGGGTTTCCTAAAGCTGATCCAGCATTTTATTATGATTAAAAATATGGTTACAACTCTAACAAATAAATGGATAACAATTTTCTCGCTCCTATTGATCGCATTGTGATCACATATATTCCACGATAAATCGTCCACCGAACACAAAAAAAACAGTTAAATTTTTTTAAACTCGAGTTCTATTATTAGTTAGTTTATTTAAACATTCTGGATGCTTTGTAGAAACGGTGGTCACTGGATGACCACGGCTGCCGAAACATCGGGCTATAGTATAAATTGTAAATAAGCTAACTAATATAGTTTGAGTTTTAAGCCGTTTAAAGTGTTATTCGAAAGTAATATTTTAACTACATAAAAATTTCTAAAGACAAAATTGCTTGCATTAAGGCTACAAATAACGAGGGAGTGATTAGGTTAGCGATAAAGGCACAATCACAGCGAAACAATGTATTTGCATATAAATGAGATTGCTATAGTAATGTTGTTACACAAATTTTGTTCTTAATAATGAATTTTGTTTTAAGATTATATCGGGGGAGATGGTACGTATTATTATAACTCGGGAGACGAATCAAGGGAATTTGTCGTTCTTTTACGGTTATGATTATCTCTCAGTTGTTTAAAGTGCAAATCTTATGTGTTATAACAAAATGTTAAGTGAACATACATAGGTTTGGAATTGGCATAAAGAGAATATTAATATAATTTTAAAATATATAAAATTAGTGTGAAATTACTAATCGTTTATAAAACAACACATTTATTTGAGGAGTTCTGGTTGATTATAAGCTGGGTAGCAAATATTAAGGATTTAAAAATCGAAAATAAATTAAAAAAAATTTTCGACTCGGGCAGGACTTGAACCGGCATCGTCAGTTTTCCGTGCTGTTGCTCTACCAATTGAGCTACCGAGAATATTAAGGATTTTAAATGAATAATTTCGTTCCGGGCTTTGTCTAAACTTCGAATCTCGTCATTATCAAATACACAATATAAAATCATAAATTTTATTATATGTGCAGCTTGTCCTCTTTTATAATAAAAAATCAGTATATTATATATATATAGCTAATATACCTTAGATTATTTTATTTCTGTCTCTTCCACCACTATTTAAACGGATCGACACATACTACGAGCGGATCTGATCTAAACAAAAATCAACGGCAGAGTACTCAATTATATTTAACTTTAATGAACAAGAGAATTAGTACAATGTCTGTAGTATTACTCGGGTAAACTACAGACATTGAAGTAAAACACTTAAACGGTTGAAAATGCGATTTATATTGGTTAAACTTATTTGAAAAATATTTTAACTACGGCCCGACGTTTCGGATGATTTACAGCAACCGTGACCACGTGTTTTATTTAAAAAAAAAAAAAAAACTCTTAAACACATCCTGCTTAAGACCTACTAAACGTTCGAATTAAATAACTTAACATGTCTTTAAACGATAAAAATGGCACAATACCTCCGTAGAAAGTACTTGAACCTTCTTGGTATAAATAAGTTAGTAGATCTCTTTGAGTTTGACAAAGCCGTGTTCCGCCAAGCGAGTTTATCTAATTTTGCAGTAACCGTTCTGGATGTTCTATTAAAGCCAGTGGCACATTATCAAGGGTAACAAACTGCTATAAAGTTAATCCCACAGTTGGGACTAAATATATGAGGAGCCAGGGTTTCAGATTATATATATATAATCTATACTATATACTACTTGATTTGAGAACTGGTTGTAAATGTAAAGTTAGATTCTTTTATTATTTTGTGACGTTCATAAGTGTACATAGTTACTTACTTGAATAAATGATTTTTGACTTTTGACTTTGACTTTTGATAAATGCGAAAGTTTAAATAAAACACTTTAACGGTTTAAAACGCGATATATTAGTTAAACGGGGTGTCTCCCCCCCGTGACCACGGCTGCTGCAAAGCATCCGAAACGTCGGGCCGAAGTTAAAAATAATTTTCAAATAAGTTTAACTAATATATCGCGTTTTAAACCGTTAAAGTGTTTTATTTAAATGTGTACTACTCGCGTAAACTATAGACAGTATTTAAATGCGAAAGTTACTCTGTCTGTCTTTCTATCCGGGTTTAACGCCGATACTACTGAACCGATTTAAATGAACTTGGTACACAGATATTCTAGAGCCTGAGAAAGGACATAGACTACATTTTAATGCCAAAAAGCGATGTTAGGGGTTGAAAAGGGAAATGACACTTTGTATGGAAATTCGTGATTTTTAAGCTAAAACAATGAAACTTTCTTCTTTGGTTTTTTGGGAATGGGAGTGGGAGTGGGAGTTAGAGTAGGAGTGATGTGAGGTGAGAGTGTTGCGAAAAAGTATCACTTACAACATAGATAGATGGCTGTCTTGAATTCGGCCTTTTATAAATAAATAAACAGCCTAAATAATTAAAAATTCTACCCAAAGTTACTATTCCACGCGGACCAAGTCGCGAGCACAGCTAGTATGATATATGAGGCTGCTAGAGGCAGCAATCAATAACAAAAATTATGTTAATATTTGTGTAAATATTATGTTAACAATTTTCGATCAGTGTGCTCTTGTAGTACATTTTTAGACTATAAAAATATAAATAAATCAAGTTATAAAATTGTAGTTAGGCTACTCTGACTCTGGCGGACTTTTATAGTATTATATAATATATCTTGTGTTTTTTGGGGATCTAGGTGGTCACGCC